CGAAAAAAAGAAGTAAAAAAGAGAGAGAAATTGGATGAAAGCTATTGTCTATGACACACCTGTGAGCTGGAACATTGTCTATGTGACAGACCTGTGAGCTGGAACATCCCTGAAATAAGCAACTAGCAGGCATGGACTTGCCAGTGGCTGATAATGTTGAGGAGCGGCTGTACAAAGTCCTCGTCATCGGTGAGTTTGGAGTCGGCAAGACCAGCATCATTCGCCGGTACACGGAGAACTTCTTCTCGCCGAACTACAAGCTGACGATCGGCGTGGACTTCGCACTGAAGCCCCTGGAGTGGCAGAACCCGCCGTGCAAGATCAACCTGCAGCTGTGGGACATTGCGGGACACGAGCGCTTCGGTCAGATGACGCGGGTCTACTACAAATACGCCATCGCGGCCGTGCTCGTGTACGACACCACTCGTTCGGCGACGTTCGATGCCGTGCTGAAGTGGTACAGCGACGTCAACTCCAAGGTGATGCTGTCAGATGAGAAGCCAGTGCCATGCCTGCTCCTGGCCAACAAGTGCGATCTGGACGAGGCGCAGGTCGACAAGGAGACGTTAGATGCGTTCTGTCACAAGCACGGCTTCATCGGCTGGTTCGCCACGTCGGCGAAGGACGACACGAACATTTCCGACGCGTTCGAGTTCCTAGTTAGTAAGATTCTGGAGATGACAGCAATGCCGTCACAACCTGACAGATCGGCCGTGCACTTAGACGACGGTCAAGACTCGGAGCGATCGCTCGTACGAGAATGGAAGGACCGTTGCTGTGAATAGTATTAGCCATCAAGGTAGCCATCATCCCTCCATTCGCTGCAACCCTGGCCACCCTGATCTTGAGTACCATGCGACATTTAGCGTAAGTTCTAGGCTTTTCCAGACGAAAAACTTTACAGAGACGTTCTCAGAACGATATGAACATCTGCAGTTGAATGTCTGCAGCTGCGTCTATTATTATTTTATTTTTGTTCTATTAAATGTGATATTCCCTTGACGGCAGGCCGTTATGATTTTACTCGTGCATTTCACTCCTATCTCTAACTCTGGGGGTTTTTCTACATGCAAATGCATTATTCCCTAGTTCTTTTCTCACTGTTCACGAAGTTCGGATCTGCGAACTTTGCTTCACTGACTATGTGAACACTCTTATGTAGGCAATTTATTTTATTATGAAGACCTAGAAGTGAGCAGAAAGAGGGAGAAAGAGAGAGAGAGAGAGAGAGAGAGAGTGTGTGTGTGTGTGTGTGTGTGTGTGTGTGTGTGTGTGTGTGTGTGTGTGTGCGCGTGCGTGCGTGTGCGCGAGTGTGTGTGTCTGTGGACATGTGTGTGTGTGTGTGTGTGTGTGTGTGTGTGTGTGTGTGTGTGTGTGTGTGTGTGTGTGTGTGTGTGTGTGTGTGTGTGTGTGTGCACGAGTGTGTGTGCGTGCGTGTGTGTGTGTGTGTGTGTGTGTGTGTGGAGTTGCATTTTTTCTTTCAATGCTTGCAATGGCGTCTGTACTGTAGCTGGTTGTGTATGCTGGACACGCATGGCCTGTGTCAGTGACTGCCCACACTACAGACCACAGTGGTCTATTCCTGACACAGCATAGCATGCACTGACCCTGCACTGACCATCTGACCCAGTGGAAGTTTGGGTATGTGTTCTCCTGGCGAGCAGAATGCGCACAATGTCTGGTGTGCTCAACACTTGACTTTGCTCAGTGTTCCAGCTGATTCAGATATCGCTCCTGTGAAGTAGATTTTGACCATCTATCTGCCCATGATGGTAAGAGTTGCACATAAACGGTTGGGGTTACTGCGCACACCTACACTATACTTGGCGCTAATAGAAATTGTGCATGTACATGTATATGGAGTGGTGAGCCAGTCAAAAGTAATAATTATTAGAAAAGCGATCCTGTCTGCTTTTCTATTATTGTTATGAAGTGGCGAACCAGTTAAAAGTAAAAAAATGAAAGAAAAAAAAACAGGACATTGACTTCCAGTCTTTGTACATGCACCGGGGAGGGCGTATCTACGCAGTATCATGCACTCCCGATGCAGCCGAAGTAAGGGCAGGGCTTAGCTGGTTGGGTCCACTACCACTTCCGGGGGGGGGGGGGTGCACGTGTCCGGTCGGCCCCCTTTCTCCGAAATAGTATTGCAGCAGATGCTAGATGTGCGCGAGTTCTGTAGTAGATAGAATCACCCTACTAGTATGTCCAAAACTGTCATTCACGTTCCGGTACTAGTACAGTGGTCCCTCTATAATCCGGCACCATTTGTGCCACGGAAAATCTGCTGGATTAGGGAGGGTGCTGGATTAACAAATCTGATTTACTGCTGCAATGTGCATGGAGAGGACATTTTGGCTACTGAAAATTGTGCTGGTTTATCGAGGGTGCTGGATTATAAAGTGCTGGATTAGAGAGGGACGACTGTAATAGTATAGCAATATACCATGATGCAGAAGACGGTGAGAATACAGTATGTGCGTACTCTCACATATCGGTATGATCGCTAAGCATAATCCAAAGCAACGTGTGAATGTCAATTGTGTAGACTGAGCATGGGTGGAACCCGCCTTGGGGGAGCATATCTCCCGGGCCCCACTGGCTATACAGTGAAACCTGTCTAAGACGAGTCGACCGCTCAAGGGACCTTGAAAATGTGGTCTCGGTTACCAGGTGGTCTCCTTATCCAGGGTCATTTGACTGGAAATAGCATCCCTTGGTCCTGGTTTCAGTGGTCGTCCAAGACAGGTGGTCGCCTTATCCGAGTGGTCGCCTTTTGACAGGTGTTACTGTATTCGTGTGCCTGTGATACCCAGTGCTGCACAGAGTTCCCGGGTGACAACCGATAACTTGTACATGTATACCGCTTGACTGCTTTGGCAAAAGTATCTTTTGGGTCGCTCAGTATCGCACAGTCGGCTGGAGAAACGGCAAACAGTACAATGACGGTGATCTTCGAAAGCCTCACCCTCTGGCCTTCTACACCTAAGGCTATTCCTCTTTGTTCAATGGTCATTGTTATGTCTTCCCCTCTGGCGTTCAGTTCTTTCGGCCTTCCTCCCCCTCCCCCCCCCCCCTCCCCCCCCCCCCCACACACACACACCTCCTCCACTAATGAGTAATGTTATGCTACTACCGGTGCATTATTACGGATAAGTCGTTTTCGGTGTTGAAAACATGTATATCACCATGCTATCGAGTATCGAGTCATGTACATGTACCGGTACAGGTACATGTATGTCCGAATTGCAACAAATGACCCAGAATACTACACTTCAAGTTGTCTTCAGTACTCCGAGTGCTCCGCTGCAGCAAATCAATCTCTCCAACTCCTTTACAACCACGGTCTTTCACTACAATTATTTTCCGCAATCAATTACTCAAGTAGTTGGTCTTCAAAGCAGGGAGTAGTACAATACAGTATTGAACTCCCTGCTTCAAAGTAACAGTTTCGCCTTTGTGGATCAGGCCAGCAGGGAGTACACTCATACCTCGGTTATCCGGACCCCGAAGTTACGGGCACTTCGGTCTACCGGGCACTATTTGGGCGAGTTTCAGGGGAAACTTTATTACAGTCAACTTTGCGTATAACGACACTCGGTGGGGCCGCAGAAAAGTGTCGTTATTCACGAAGTGTCGTTATACCCGAAGTCTTATTATAATGTATTCAGGTAGAATGGACTGTGCTCTGGGCATGGAAAGTTGGAAACTCTGTCGTTATTCGCGAATTGTCGTTATAACCGCAGTCGTTATTAGCGAAGTTGTCTGTACTACTCTTTTGTCACTTTTCGTAGAAATATTGACGTCATATGCCATTTTTTTTTTTTTTACTAAGTACACAACCTAGTTAACCTACTCGTCAGAAGGGGAGAAGACAACAGAGTGTACAATGACAAAACAGCAGGGAGAGTAGGGGCTGCAAAGCAAGCCTGTGCTGGTGAGGCAAGCCCACAACACCGACCTATGGTCTCGGCGTTAACGTGAGCTTGCGCACCATAGCCTAAAAGAAGGGGGTGATTTAGTGCGATAAAGACAAGAGAAGGTGAGGTAGAATTATTATTATTATTATTATTATTATCAAATTTTTGATAGGGCAATCCCCACAGGCCTAAGCCTTAAGGCCTTCTTACAGGGTACCCTAGAAATGAAAGTACTGAATAGAATGGATGAGGAGAAAGAGAGAGAGAAAAAATATATATATATATCTCTGTGCTGCGCTGATGAGTTCAAAAAGAACGAAACAGCATGCTGTCCGCAGATTGAGTACTTCGCTCCTGCTCTTGTAGCAGTTGAGCACTCTTGCGTGTGGTAGTGCCTTTGCTGTTTGCGTTATGCAGAGCTCACTGACTTGTCAGTTTGAGCACTCTGGCAAGGTACGTTCGGGCCTGATTGGAAATTTTTATTTCCATTGCTATCAGGTTCGGCCTCATTTTCTCTGTGCTGCGCTGATGAGTTCAAAAAGAACGAAACAGCATGCTGTCCGCAGATTGAGTACTTCGCTCCTGCTCTTGTAGCAGTTGAGCACTCTTGCGTGTGGTAGTGCCTTTGCTGTTTGCGTTATGCAGAGCTCACTGACTTGTCAGTTTGAGCACTCTGGCAAGGTACGTTCGGGCCTGATTGGAAATTTTTATTTCCATTGCTATCAGGTTCGGCCTCATTTTCTCTGTGCTGCGCTGATGAGTTCAAAAAGAACGAAACAGCATGCTGTCCGCAGATTGAGTACTTCGCTCCTGCTCTTGTAGCAGTTGAGCACTCTTGCGTGTGGTAGTGCCTTTGCTGTTTGCGTTATGCAGAGCTCACTGACTTGTCAGTTTGAGCACTCTGGCAAGGTACGTTCGGGCCTGATTGGAAATTTTTATTTCCATTGCTATCAGGTTCGGCCTCATTTTCTCTGTGCTGCGCTGATGAGTTCAAAAAGAACGAAACAGCATGCTGTCCGCAGATTGAGTATATATATATTATATATCGATGGCCTTTTCCCCATCAAGATGTATATGATTCGGAGTTACGGACATTTCAAAGTTACGGGCAGTGCAAGGTCCCGGACTGCCCGGATAAACGAGGTATGAGTGTACGTGTTTATAATAATTGCAGTGAAAGCGAAAGATCGTGGTTGTGAAGGTACTAGGTGTTGGAGAGATGACCAAGAGTACGGGTCTGAGTCATATAAGATTATGCTGATTGTAGACCTGACTTTTGTATACAATCTATGTATGTATGAAGTACAGCTGTATACAACTCCCTGAACAGTTTATCAAGTTATGGCCGGTCACAGACCATTTTACAAGCCGGAAAGAAGTCAATGAGTGGTATGACTCCAACTCCACTTTCCAGCTGCGTACTAGTGCCTACGGCATAATGCGGGTCACTGGTCACTGGTCACGGACCTTCACGACACACACGCGCGCGCGCGCACACTCACTCAGACTCAGACATGCCCATCGCGGAAGCGATGATAGCGAACAGCTATGTTAGACATAGCAACTTGTGCTGGGATTACACCATTCAACAGCTTGCAAAGCTGCCACTAATTTTAGCACACACACACACGCTGGCACGCACGCGCGCGGTCACACACACACACACACACACAGTGACACACTGTCACAGTTGATGAAGTCTGATGTCTGTTCTTGACTCGTGAGGTAGGGAATCATGAGGCATTCCTCCCACAAGCTGAAAGACTCAAAGTACTCGAAGGTGTCGTTCCAACACAGTCACAGTGATTACGCGCACTGCACTAGTCAAGGGTAGTTTGGGCGGGTCTTTCATCTGGACCCAGGCTGATATTGGACTACAATGGTAGCTTTATCATTTAATTTATATTTCTCATTACCGGCATTCATTGTGGAGCATGCAGCTAGCAGGTCAATGATCATGCTCTTGTGTCGAGATCTAGAGCCTTGAATGAGCCTGCGCGCTGGCCCCCCGACCACTTGATCCAGATCCGGAATACACTGGCTTCCTGTGTACAAAAGAACTCACTGTCCAGAAGAAGTGTCCTCTTACCGTGATCAAGTTTTTAGTTACTCAAGTCAAGACAAGCATCTGTCTGGATACAGTATTGCTTTCACGATGTTTTACACCACGTGCACGCCCACCATCCAGCTGCTTCCGCCGCCGACGAATGCATAATATGCATGTACATGTATATGTACGCATCGTAACATGAACAGGTACCGGA